CGTCCTTCCCTCTGGTGCTCTGGTGAATAAAGTGACCCCCTCTTCTATGTGGCAACCCCTCAAATACTTCTTCAGTCAGAAATGAAGAAGCTTCTTGAAGGAAAAGCAAAATGTCTTCAAGCAAGAGCAAAGAAAGTCCAGTTGCCATTTGGAAAAGCACTTTTGGGACATCCGCGATCTGGTTGACTGAAAATCTCCACAGACAATGCAAGTAAGCTTATCTGGAATGCAACGGGGAACTAGGTTTAGGATATATGTTTTTGGTCTTTTCCTGGAAGTGGTGGACAGTGCTTTAACTTAATTCAAGAGAAAAGAATAGAGCAGAATTTAGGTAAAAAGGAGAGAAAAACTACCAGATAATTTATATAGACTCACCAGGTCATAGACATGAGTATAACAGGAAGTAGAAGCCACCAGTAATATTGACCCTTGTCTGAGAAGACGGCCATCAGCATCCCTACAAGGACACCGTTGTAGCCGTGGAGTCCAGCAGCAATGGAGGACCTGTGTAGCAACCACGGGGAGAAATTACGTTGCGAATGTAGAATGCAGACACACCTAGATGGACGTTCTTGAACGTCACACAAACTCAGGCAGAGCTAGCGTTTGGAACGCGCACATCTTCGAAGTCAAGCCATTTTTTTTAAAAAAAAAGAAACGAACAAAATTTCATTGTGTGGGTGGCTATAGAAATTGAGTGACGAAATAATTGTTACGGTCTCTGGGCTCCAGAAATATTTGTTTAATTGCAGTAAATCTCATCTTCTAAAATTAAAAAGGGCCTGGTCTTCTTACTGGTTTAGAATAGAATAGAATAGAATAGAATAGAATAGAAAATATGGAATAGAATAGAATAGAAAATATGGAATAGAATAGAATAGAAAATATGGAATAGAATAGAGTAGAATAGAGTAGAGTAGAGTAGAGTAGAGTGTAGAGTGTAGAATGTAGAGTGGAGTGGAGTAGAGTAGAGTAGAGTAGAGTAGAGTAGAGTAGAATAGAATAGAATAGAATAGAATAGAATAGAATAGAATAGAATAGAATAGAGCTGGAAGGGACCTTGGAGGTCTTCTAGTCCAGCCCCCTGCTAAAGCAGGAGAAGTGGATATATTACAGGTTTTTTTTACCCTAGTTTGATAACTGTATTTGAGCTTAGCTGATTACCTTTTTTTAATGTAATCTTACATTGTAAAGGCCGGTCAAAGATCATAATAAAATATTTGATAGGATTTGATGGCATGAATATTGTCACTTAAGAGAAATCCAGTGGCTAATTTCCTCTGAGTATTGAAAGAGTAGGAAGAGGAGGAGGGAGAGGAGGAGGAGGAGGAGGAGGAGGAGGAGGAGGAGGAGGAGGAGGAGGAAAAATTAGAGGACCACCTACCTGTCTTGACTTAGAATAACTGCAGTTAAAGTTGACACAATCCCTCCAATGCAACACATGAGTGTCAGCCAAGGACTCTGGACCAGGAATCCAACGAGCAGGATGAGGCCGCTGAGAGGATTGTTCACAAACATCACTTGAGAGATTCCGCGCAGAAGCCAGTCAACAAATTGGAGAGCCACAGGCTTATCTGAAAGACAAAGGATTTGACAATGTTTCATATGATATGTGATATATGTGTCAACGCTGCTAACATCGGATGTTTTTGCTTTGACAAGAGTTAGATGATGCTGGGGGGTGGAGGAATGTGCATGAGAGTTTAGCTAGACATAACAGTACTAGACCTAGCGTGAGAACCAAGGTTATTGAAATAAGAGGCAATAAGAATTGGCTGGGCTGGAGAACTGGAGGGAAAGGCTTCAAACTAATTGGGGAATGTGATTTATGACAGTTAATTGGAGGAGGGAATTGTGCTTTGAGACTATGTGCTCAGGGGAGGGGAATTCAGATTTTGGCTTCGGCTGTGTAAGTGCCGATGTTATGCTTCTCCAATAAAGTTTCTTTGAGGTAAACAATGCCTCGAAGTTCTTTGAAGAGTTTCATCTGTCTGAACCATGACAATATGATATATGATATATGATATATGATATATGATATATGATATATGATATATGATATATGATATATGATATATGATATATGATATATGATGGTATGATATGGGTAATATATAGAATAGAAGATCTTGTGGAAAGGAATATAGAGATGATCTTGAAGGAAGGAAGAAAGGAAGGAAGGAAGGAAGGAAAAAAAAAAGGGAGGGAGGGAGGGAGGAAGAAGAGAGAGGGAAAGAAGAAAGGAAGGAGGGAGGGAAGGAAGGAGTGAAGAGAGAAGAGAACAAAGGAATGAAGGAAGGAAGGAAAGAAGGAAAGAAGGAAGGAAGGAGGGGGAGAGAGAGGGAAAGGGGAAAGATGGAAGAAGAGGAAGGAAGGGAAGGGAGGAGAAAGGGGAAGGAAGGAGAAAGAGAAGGAAGGAAGGAAGGAGTGAAGAGAGAAGAGAGCGAAGGAACGAAGGAAGGGAAGGAAGGGAAGAAGGAAAGGAAAGACGGAAGGAAGGAAAGAGAGAGGGGGTGAAGGAAGGAGAGAGGGGAAAGGAAGGAAGGAAGGAAGGAAGGGAGATACAGGGGCTATAAAAAGGTGACCCTCCATTACAGATTTTATAGCCCAGGTATCTTGACCCACCTTATTCACACCCAGAGAGTTGCTATTTCTTTCTTTTTTAATGACAAAACTGAACAGAACAGGTGACAGCCTGCAGCATGCTGGTCCTCCATAGTTTTTCCTCTGGGTCTTTTCAGTGCCCTGCGCTGGTCCATCCTGGGGTCCAAAGCCAATGGACAGACCCAATGGTGCTTGCATGGCAGAACAGAGGAAGCAGTCAGGCGAACTAAATGAATATTGCAATGTTGTGATTTGGCAACACTAGTATTGTCATTCTGGCGAAAATAGCACAACGCGGACGAATGCACAACGGGGACAAAAGAAGCAGACTTCTGAATCCAGGCTTTCCCAACCTGGGCAATCATCCTGGCGGGCGAATTTTGGGAGTTGAAGTAATAATAATAATAATAATAATAATAATAATAATAATAATAATAATAATAATAATAATAATAATAACAGAGTTGGAAGGGACCTTGGAGGTCATCTAGTCCAACCCCCTGCTCAGGCAGGAAACCCTATATCCCATTTCAGACAAATGGCTGTCCAGTTTCTTCTTAAAAACTTCCAGTGTTGGAGAAGGGAGAGAGGGAAGGAGGGAGGGAGGGAGGGAGGGAGGGAGAGAAAGAAAGAAAGAAAGAAAGAGATTTGGAAGGGACCTTAGAGGTCATCTAGTCCAACCCCCTGCTCAGGCAGGAAACCCTATATCCCATTTCGGACAAATGGCTGTCCAGTCTCTTCTTAAAAACTTCCAGTGTTGGAGAAGGGAGAGAGGGAAGGAGTGAGGGAGGGAGAGAGAGAGAGAGAAAGAAAGAAAGAAAGAAAAAAAAAAAGAAAGAAAGAAAGAGATTCGGAAGGGACCTTAGAGGTCATCTAGTCCAACCCCCTGCTCAGGCAGGAAACCCTATATCCCATTTCAGACAAATGGCTGTCCAGTCTCTTCTTAAAAACCTCCAGTGTTGGAGCATTCACAAGCATCTTGAAGTTGCGAAGGCTGAAATACTGGTCTAATGTATCGTTTCTCCGGATCCGGCCTGTTTTTTTCTGCAGAGTGGATGGCTTGGAAAACGTGAAAAATCCTGGCTTGGGGAATTCTGGGAGTTGAAGTCCTTGAACGCTGCCAAGGTTTGGGAAAACCTGAAATAGTTGATCAAGGGTCTACCTGGACGGAAGCTCTGATTCATTGTCCTTTTAACGCCGCTCTCTTCTCTACTCTGAATGATCTTTGACCCGGAGACTAGGAGACAGCACAACAAGTTGTGTGTTCGTTTTTGCGTTTGGCAAAAGGTTTAACAGTTCTTAGGAGGTGCCATTTCAGTTGCTTATTTGCAGCGCAGAGTTCAAAAACCTCGGCCTGGATGGTTTATAAAAGGGATCATCACCATAAAGTGCAAGAATACTATGCGGTAATAAAATGCGTCCTTCGGGGAAAATAATAGCAACAATAACACAACGCCACTTTGCAATAGTGGCTAAGGTGCTAGCCTAGAGGAGAATGGAAGTTCTAGTTCTACCTTAGGAACAAAAGCCGACTGGGTGACTTTAGACCAGGGGTAGGCAACCTTGGCTCTTTTATGACTGGTGGACTTCAACTCCCAGCATTCCTGAGCCAGCATGGGGGAACCTTGGCCCCTTCATGACTCGCGGACTTCAACTCCCAGAATTCCTGAGCCAGCATGGCTCAGCTTGGAAACCTCTCCCTTTCCCCTCAGCATGGCTGGCTCAGGAATTCTGGGAGTTGAAGTCCACCAGTCATAAAAGAGCCCAGGTTGCCTACCCCAGGCCTAGGCCACTTTATGACTCGCGGACTTCAACTCCCAGAATTCCTGAGCCAGCATGGCTCAGCTTGGAAACCTCTCCCTTTCTCCTCAGCATGGCTGGCTCAGGAATTCTGGGAGTTGAAGTCCACCAGTCATAAAAGAGACAAGGTTGCCTACCTCTGCTTTAGACCAATGATCAGGACACTGAGTTCTAGTCCCGCCTTAAGCATGAAAAACGGCTGGGTGACTTTGGGCCAATCACCAGGAGACTATGAGTTCTAGTCCCGCCTTAGGCACGAAAACCAGCTGGGTGACTTTGGGCCAATCAGGAGACTGAGAGTTCTAGTCCCGCATTAGGCATGAAAACCAGCTGGGTGGTTTGAGCCAATCATCAGGAGACTGTGAGTTCTAGTCCCACTTTAGGCGCGAAAGCTGGCTGGGTGACTTTGGGCCAATCACCAGGAGACTGTGAGTTCTAGTCCCGCCTTAGGCATGAACACCAGCTGGGTGATCCTGGGCCTTCTCTTGGCCCAACTCACCTCACAGGGTTGTTGTTGCAGGGATAATAGTAAGAGGAGCGAGTATCATATATGGTCTCTGCAATTAATCAGTGAAACTACCTGCCTCCAGAAGCTTTGAATGCTCCAACACTGGAAGTTTTTAAGAAGAGACTGCACAGCCATTTGTCCGAAATGGTATAGGGTTTCCTGCCTGAGCAGGGGGTTGGACTAGATGACCTCCAAGGTCCCTTCCAACTCTGTTATTCTGTTAAAATGGGTCAACGCACGACCAGATTGCGTAAAGACCACCAATGAGGATGCAATGTCAAAATATAGAAGGAATTTTGGGGGGAAAAGTAACGTGTCCAATCTTCCACAATTCCACAACAGGGTTCTCTTTCTGTTGTTTTGAAAGTTTATCAAACTGGGACCATTGCCAAATTGTGTATATCTCTGGCAACATCTGGTGTGGCTCTTACTGCCAATAAGGTTGCAAAATATGACACACATTTATTGTTCTCTGCAAAAACATCACGCAACTGGGAAGTTGATTGAGCGGCTCAGTTCATGCGGAAGATACAAAACAGCTAATTTATGTTGCTCGCCTGGAAGCTGGCAGATGGCCTGAACATCTCTAGGCCAGCTTGTGTTGGGATTGTGACACACCCTCCAAGTGTATAATTTAACATCCGCAGTGGCAGGCAGGCAGGCAGGCGAGGGGAATGCGTGAGTGGGATGAGGCTTTGGAGAGGGAAAGAGAGGGATGAGAGAGGACGCCTGAGCATAAATAACTTGTGATGTGTTTATAAGGTAAAATAAGGGTCAGCCTAAAACTCATCGTAGGATGAGCAATGACAGCTTTGGGTGGTGCAGAAAGAAAGAAAGAAAGAAAGAAAGAAAGAAAGAAAGAAAGAAAGAAAGAAAGAAAGAAAGAAAGAAAGAAAGAAAGAAAGAGAAAGGAAGGAAGGAAGGAAAGAAGGAAGGAAGGAAGGAAGGAAAAAGAAGAAAGGAAAGGTAAGAAAAGAAAAAAGAAGGGAAAGAAAGAAAGGAAGGAAACAAGAAGGAAAGAGAAAAAAGGAAATAAGAAAGGAAAGGAAAATACAAAAAAGGAAGGAAGGAAGGAAGAAAAAAGAAAAGGAAGAAAGGAAAGAAGAAAAGAAAAAAGAAGGAAGGAAAGAAAGAAAGGAAACAAGAAGGAAAGTAAGAAAAAAGGAAAGAATGTCAGAAAGGAAAAAATAAGAAAAAAGGAAGGAAGGAAGGAAGAAGGAAAGAAGGAAGGAAGGAGATGAAAAGGAAGTAGAGATGGATGGATGGAGGGAGGGAGGAAGATGGAAAGGAGGAAGGAAGGAATTAAGGAAGAAGGGAGGGAGGGAGCGAGGGAGGGAGAACGGAAGGAAGGAAGGAAGGAAAAAAAGGAGAAATAGGGAGGGAGCGAGGAAGAAAGGAAGAAAGGAGAAGAAAGAAATAGGGAGGAAGGAAGGAAGGAAGGAAAGAAGGTGGAAAGGAAGGAGGGACCATTTTTTCCGAAAAACACTCTTGTGCAGTGTTTTTCTATCTTAGCATCTTTAAGATGTGTGGATGTCAACTCCCAGATTAGGGCTGGCTAGGGAATTCTGGGAGTTGAAATCCAGATATCTTAAACCTGTCGGCATACTGTCTTGGGAATTCTGGGAGTTGAAGTCCACCTGGCTTAAACTGGCTGAGGTTGAGAAATATTTGGCCTCATCAAGGCATTCAACAACTTCTCACTGTGAGCCCACCTACACTTGTGCTCCCATTGGTTCTTGTAGAGCAGGGGTCTTCAAACTTGGCCCTTTTATGACTGGTGGACTTCAACTCCCAGAATTCCTCAGCCAGCTTTGCTGGCTGAGTAATTCTGGGAATTGAAGTCCACCAGTCATAAAAGGGCCAAGTTTGAAGACCCCTATTGTAGAGGTATCAGAAACATCACCTACCTTTTAGCCAGTCTCCAAACAACTTCATATCTCCGGTGACACAGCTCAGGGCTCGCAACACTTGCTGGCAACATTTGCCTGTTGACTTTTGTGTCTTGTCACACTTTTCAGCAGCGGCATCGATTTCCATTGTGAGGTTTGGATCCTGCCCAGACAAAAACAACAAACCATTTGACCGACTGTCCTTTTGAACTTCCTTTGGGTCAACAACGTGCGCTGTTTTTCCATGGGAATGTCCATGGGGGTCACAATGGGTCGGACACGACTTCGCAACTAACAACAACAACATAGGAAGCAACTCCGAGCAAAACAGCCATGGACGCCGTAGATATTTTCAAGAATATTCTAAGGCGGTACTTCTCAGCCAGCCCTGGCAACTTTATGGACTATGTGGACTTCAGTTCCCAGAATTCCCTAGCCAGCATGTTGACTAGGGAATCCTGGGTGGGGGAGGTTGAAGTCCACACCACATATAGTTCCAAGTTTGAGAAAATCTACTCTAAGACCTTAGAGTCTTCAGAGGTCTTTACAACTGGGAAACTTTGTGGACTTCCATTCCCAGAATTCTGAATGTTGAAGTCCACAAGTCTTAAAGTTGCCCACTTTGGAGACCCCCTATACTAGATTAGTGTTTCTTAACTTCAGCAATTTGAAGACGTGCGTCAACCATCCCACTCGGACCTCTAGTGAAGAAGCTCTGTCATCAACTCATGAAGCCTGGATGGATGAGATGCAGCCAAGACAATCTGTGGCCTTCAACTCCCCAAATTCTGGGAGCTGAGGTCCACACACCTTCATATTGCCAAGGTTGAGGAACACTGTGTTAGATCCACCTTGTGGTCCTCTATCAACCTGAGCGTTGAAGGCAAGGTTTGGATGGATGCCTACCTGGGCTTCCAGCCTCTCCAGTAGTGGCCTACTTTGACAAAGATCTTGGGCACAGGCTGATTCAGAGTCATAAGACTGGCATCCATCTGGTGACAGCTGAACTGGGACTGGGAGAGTGGAAGGGTTGACGGGACCTCCGTCCATCTTTGTTAGCATTGCACGTATGCTAAAGGGCAGAGAGAAGGAAGTCAACAAAGGACTCTCCACCCTGAGTTTATGATTTTATAGATTCTGGGTCAATGCTCCTCATGAGGTTATTTCGTTTTATGACCAGGTTGGAGAAAACAGCTCAACTGTGGGATCTGGGTCAGTCAACCATGAAGAAGCTTCCTCATCCTGACTCCGGGCATCATCTAGCAAAGCAGTTTCCGTTAATTTAAATTAGACTTTAGGGATGGAAGAAAGCCGAGTGAGGAAAGGGTGAGATGTGGGTGACATTCGCAAAGTTGGGAAGTGGCTGTCGTGCATTTATTGAATATCACGCCTGCTAAAGTATGGCTCTACGTGCCTGGCCAGGAATTGCTCTAGTTTTCCATTTTATCATCTTGTTCCCATGATTTTCAGGCTTCACAGCGGCCCACCCTTCCATTTAAACTCAAGAGAACCAACTTAGAACTAAGGAGAAAGTTCCTGACCGTGAGGACAATTAACCAGTGGGACCACTTGCCTCCAGAAGTTGTGGGCGCTCCATCACTGGAGGTTTTTAAGAGGAGACTGGACAGCCATTTGTCAGGAATGGGATAGGGTCTCCTGCTTGAGCAGTGGGTTGGATTAGAAGACCTCCAAGGTCCCTTTCTATTCTATTCTATTCTATTCTATTCTATTCTATTCTATTCTATTCTATTCTATTCTATTCTATTCTATTATCCAATTCTATTCTATTATCTAATTCTATTCTATTCTATTCTATTCTATTCTATTCTATTCTATTCTATTATCTAATTCTATTCTATTCTATTCTATTCTATTCTATTCTATTCTATTCTATTCTATTATCCAATTCTATTATCTAATTCTATTCTACTCTACTCTACTCTACTCTACTCTACTCTACTCTACTCTACTCTATTCTATTATCCAATTCTATTCTATTATCTAATTCAATTCTATTCTATTCTATTCTATTCTATTCTATTCTATTCTATTCTATTCTATTCTATTCTATTCTATTCTACTCTATTCTACTCTACCCTACCCTACCCTACCCTACCCTACCCTACCCTACCCTACTCTACTCTATTCTATTCTATTCTACTCTACTCTACTCTACTCTACTCTATTCTATTCTATTCTACCCTACCCTACCCTACCCTACCCTACTCTACTCTACTCTACTCTACTCTATTCTATTGTATTCTATTCTATTCTATTCTATTCTATTATCCAATTCTATTCTATTATCTAATTCTATTCTACTCTACTCTACTCTACTCTACTCTACTCTACTCTACTCTACTCTACTCTACTCTACTCTACTCTACTCTACTCTACTCTACTCTACTCTATTCTATTCTATTCTATTCTCATATCCATCCAACTATGATGTTCTGCTTTTTTCCTTGAGTCATCCGTTTTACCTCATATTTTTCTTTTGTGATCCAGTCCCCCTTTATTCCCGCTGCATGACAAAATCACCTCTGTTTACTCTTTCATTACAAATCACTCATTTTCGTGTTCAGAATCCATTCAGCTCTCATTTA